ATGTAGATGAGCATATGAAACCAGAGTGAACCCGGGATGAACCCAGGATGGTGCTAAAATATTATAAGCCGCACTACATGCATCTCCACAGAGCCACCGATCAGGGAAAAAATTATGAAGAATTGAAAAATTTAATTGTTTCGGTAGCGGATGTTGGCTTGAATCTGACGGTTGAGTGGTGGCAAACTGGACCGTTACTTTATGGACCTGAAGTCCCTGAGCTGAGGAAGAAGGCCGGCACGCAGGATTGGCTCTGGCGACGCGTTCGAAGCCTCTCAGTCGAGAAATGAGAGACGGACTTACTCGCAGAAACCAGAGAGACATCGAGGACACTGTCAAACTCATCACAAACCCCCTTTTCTTCCCACTGACATTGGCAATGCATCTGTGGTCAAACCAATGTTGATTTTTGTTTTCTATATAAAAATACCAGGAATCCACATTGTTGCCTCTGGTTGTTTGAGAGGGAAAGGGGGAAATAATGAAAAAATTGTCCGCCGGGACATGTTTGTCTCGCATCGGGAAGTGTTGGCATCCTTTGTTATTTTCTCTTTACCCTCCTGTCACAGTAGGATGTGCATCAGAGTGCATTCCAGCCAACAGCTACACAATAACAGTAGACATGCTCTCTGCCTACACAGCGCACTAAAACATCAGTGTGCGCATTTGTAAATCTAAACTGAAGGGGATAAATTTGAGATTGAGATCGCACATCCAAATTAAGATGGATCAATAAAATCCCAACGGGAAGACGCATGAAAAATCCTGTCTTTTTTGGACTCTTAACCAGAATGCTTTTTTCCACGCGGGCCACATGTCGGAAGAATTATTCTGCATTGCTGCCTCTAAAGAGGATGATTGGAATTAGTCAGGAGAGAAGGCAGCTGGTTGTTTAACACAAGAGAGACTTGTGAGAGCTCACACTGCAAAAAGAGATCTCCTCTCCTCTCGCTGCGAGGCGTTCACATCTTGTGCTGTGACTTTCCTCCACCTCGGTGGTGGTTATCCAGAAGAATAAAGTATTGTTGCCAATAGTTTCTTACTATTAGAATTCCCCCAAAAATCCAATTATGGGACTAAAGACCTAGAGGTTGTTTTTTTTCTCAGCACATAGAATGCCAGCTTTTGCTCATGAGACATAACCCAGACATTTCTAATGATGGAGACATTGAGAAAAGGCTGCATTTTCAGACAGAGCGGGAGTCACAACCAAACGTTGTCTTTGTCTTTCAGACGACCTTCTCGTTGGGCTAAAATCCCTCCGGCTACTTTCGTTCTCTCAAAAGAAGTAATGTGGAAATCCTTCCGCATTCCGTACATGTATAAACCAGAGGCATAAATAATTAGCAACGTACAGTGTGAACACAGTGTAGATGCTCCAAAAGCCGTCTCGGGGCACATCATTAATTTCCCTCTAACGCAGATGGCAGTGGAATCAACGACTTGTCGGAAATGTCGGCAGCGGAGCCATTTTTCCAACCAGAAATCACCAAAACAATCCTCGAGTCAATTTTACATGCGGCGAAAGTGAAAGATTTCGATAAATGTCACTTTTCCGAAACCGGCAGTCTAAAGGTTACATCAAATGAGGTATTGAGTTAAACCAGAGCGAGCGGCCTTCTGTCAGCCCGGACGCCGGAGCATTAGCGCGGCGGCGCTAAATGACATCTGCCCCTTTTGAGTGGAAAGAACATCCTGACAGGGCTGTTTTTTTCTAAACGGAGCAATTTGATGATTGACAACACAAAAAAACAAACAATTGGGCATATAAACCGCCGGCATTCTGCGGCTCAAGTGCTGTGTTTGTGCGGGTCGCCATACCTCTTTGTACGTGAAATACAGCCAGAAGTGTGTTTGGGTGAAAGAGAAATGGAGCCTGTATAAACAACCCCCCCTCTCCATCCCTTCCTCCCTCCCTCTCCCTTCCCCCGCAGAATCCAGATGTCAGGCCGGTTTCTCAGTGGACGCACTGTTGCCACACCTCCCCCTCCCGTCCCCGTCGCACGCCCTCGTCCGCTCGCCGCCTTCTCTCATCCCCTCGCTCCTGTTTACTCGGCCTTCCATCACTCTTCTCACACCCGTTCACCCCCCGTCGCCGCCGCCGCTCTCTCTCTCTCTCTCTCTCTCTCTCTCGGTTTTTCTCTCTCCATCATCCCGACCTCTTTTCACCTCTTTTCTCTGCCTCCGTCTGACGACATCACACACAATCTTGGAGGATTTCCAGAGTAAACAAAACCAATTTAATCGGAAAATGGTCGGTGAGCATGCTGCTGGGATGGCATCGGTTTTTTAGATTTGTGTGGATGTATGCATGTGCGTTTTAAAACCCTGGGCCGATGCAAAGAGGCAGCGTGCATGTGTGGGGGGGGGGGGGGGGGCTTTTGATGTGTGAGTGAATATCGATGCGGCGTTGCCAGCAGCTCCTTTTCAAAAAAAAACTAAGTCAAAACGCAAGTCAAACGCACAGCGGCCAATCAGAAATCCCCAATTCTACCATAAAAGCACTGGCTTATCTTCAAAAACTGCAGCCAGCGAGCTCGGAGTAGAACAAAATCCTCAACGGCGCCCTTTTACTCTCCCAAACAGCTCTCATGCTCGGCACCATCGGTCGTGATACGCTGCTGCATGAGCAGTTTCTCATCGCTTTTCATTCAAAAAGTGACGGCCCAGCTGTTCCTGTCCTTGGGGGGGGGGGGGGGGGAACTGTTTGCAGCACCTTTGAGAAAAAATAGTGCACCAACTATCTTCCCCACCCAACGCTGGATGCTCTCCGTGGGCCTCGGACCCGGCTGCTCTGTCTGGCGCTGAGACGAAGGACAAATGAAGAGTTTGTCACGCCCCACCGAGCAATACACCTGAGAGGTCTCTCTCTCTCGCTGTCATCCCCCCCCCCCCCTATCGGACAGGGGGCTGGAGTGAGGCCCAGCCGCGAGTTGGAGAATCACCGCCCGAGACTCCATCCATCCGTTTTTTTCTTCTTCTTTTTTTCCCCGCTGTGAATGGGCCGCCACACCGGAGCTGTCTCCATTAATCACTCACCGCGGGGTTCCTGGCCGCGCAGCGACCCGGATCGCCCGCCGGACCGGAGGCTGCTCCAACGCTGGTTCTTTTTAAGTGGACGTTTTGCAGATTTTTCTTTTTTTCACTGCAAATGAGCTGTTGGTGCGGGTAGTTTTCGATGGGAAACCCTTTTTTTGAGTATGCCCTTTACTCTCGCAATTTCCCCCAAAGCGTTGACCTTTTCCTCTCAAGCTCTTTCAGTCACTTTAGAAGAACAGGAGCTTCAGGAAATTCATGTGTGGACACACATTAAAATGCAATCAACAAACGTCGTGAACAGGCTTTTTTCTTGCATCTCAACATTTCGTCTTTTCGAGAACTTCATTCGCTTCATTCTCAATTACTGTGTGTGATTTCTCGAACGAGGAAACAAGAGCCCGGGTAATCAAAGCCGCCTTGAATCTAAAAGATAAGACTCTCAAAACTAAATTGGCCATCCACTTTCTCCCCTCTCACGCTAACAGACAATTAAACGGCACATCTCTGGTTGTCACGTGGACGACAAAGACTCACGGCCCACTTTTTCGTGCGTCTCCATCTCCTCACGCCGCTTTGCCTCGCCGGCTCCGAGGTGTGTGGACGTGGGACAACGGCAAAAAAAAAAACGAGACGTCCAGAGCTTTCTGGTTGAAGAAGACGAGGGTGAGCCAGGTTCTCCTCATGCCTGCGCTCCGTGGGGGGTTCTTCACCTCATCCGCCCTTCGTACCCCCACCCCCTTCCCCACACACCCCACACGGGCGCAAACTCCCAGAGTGCCTTGCCGCGTGGCCTTTTCAATAATGTAGAGAGGGGAGCGAAGGGAGACAGAAAGGAGGCGGAACTGTTGCCCAGCGCTGTGGGAGACCCCTCAGTGACATTTATTTTTGTGTGTGTGTGTGTACGCGTGTGCATGTGTGTGTTTGACGGCCTGGTGCCAGACTAATGATGCCCCCCCCCCCCCCCCCCTTCAGGGAAAAAAATCCCCTGCCCAGTAAGCCACAAAAGGGGAATAAACAGGGGGGGGGGGAGAAGGAATTTTGAAAAATAAAGGGGGGGGCCAAAGTTGTTGCAAAAGAAAAAAGGGAGGGGGAAAAAATAAAATGAAAAAATTGGGGGGGGGGGGGGGCCCTTACCCCCCCCCCCTCCTTTGTTAAGAGAGACGCCCCCCCCTGTTTTAAATAATAACACTCAAAAACCCCCTCCTCTCCCTTTTAAAAGAGGGAAAAATGAAAAAAAACACATTTTCCCTCCCCGGGGCCCCGGGGAGGAGCGCCCCCCCCCCCCCGGCAAGAAGGGAAAATTAAAATTAGCCCCCCCCCCCCCCCCCCCCCCCCCGCTTCCGCTCAGGGGCTGCAGAATGTCACACAGCTGGAGCGTGAGGCTCTGAAGACCGATGAAAAGGGAAACCCTGGCGGATGTTCTAAAAATGTTTTTTTAGAGCCTTGAAAGGCTCGAAAGGTGTATAGAAGTTGACACTTTTTTTTGTATCTTAGATTTTAAGACACAGCGACGTCCCCTTTAATTAATAATAATCAATAACAAGGTAACTACGCCCCAAAATATGTTATTTTATTATTTAAAGTTTGCACACATAAACACATACAGAGGATTTGTTTGCATATATATAAAATCATAGTTAAACTCAAAGGAAACACAAATCACGCCTATACCTTCATTTTCCATGTTTTTCCATCTTATATCAAAACCATGAATGCACTTTTGTGCTGATAAAAAAAAGGTCAGCTACCATAAACCGACGCTGTCAAGTCTTAAAGACGACATGTCAGGGAGCTAAGAGGAGGTCAGAGGTCAGAGCTCAGTGTCAGCGTTTGTTCACACAGAGAGCTGATGGCTGACTGGTCGTCTAAGTCCCAAACCTGTCTGTGGAGACAAAGTATAAACTAAAGTGAGGCTGCTGTGAATGAATTGAGTGTAAACATAAAAACGAACCCGAGGAAACTTTTGAGTCGGACAGTTTAGGTATTTTAATACACATTAACATTAACATTAAGACTATACTTTATTTAACACGCTTGTGTCTCTAGTCTAGACAGAGCTCTATTGCATTATAACACATAACATGAGGTGAGGTGTCCATTACACGTGACTAAACTAAACATACTCTTTGTCTACAGATTTTTTTATATCTAATGTATCACAAGAAACATCACAGAACCCTGCTGGTTCACAGTCTACTGTTCGGGGCCTTTCCAAGGGGTCAAAACAAAAACATAAGAGGTCATGAGACAGGAAAGAATATGCCCCATATTGATTTATTTCGACTTGGTAGACGGCGGCTGGAGGAGATCACTCAATCCAACAGTCCAATGCTGACCTCTTGTGGCTCAAACTAAGAACTGCAACCGCAGGCACATTTAAAAACCCAGTGTGCTCTTATGTCAGAGACGGCGGCCCGGTGTGAGCGGCCTGCCGCAGCAGCAGCTCTCTGGCCAGGTCCGGCCGGCCGCTCTTGGCTAGGCAGCGAGCGAGCTGAGAGGCCCTGGGGTGGTGGCCGGCGGCGGGCAGCCCCCTCCTCCACGTGGTCAGGACGTGGAAGGCCTGGGCCGGCAGGCTGTCCCCGGAACGCAGCTTCGCCAGCTGAGCGGCGCTCCGCCGGAGGCGCAGGGAGAGCACCAGCAGCGCCACCTCCTCCTCCGAAAGCTCCCCGGACAGCCAGAGGAGCAGAGAGTCCGACAGGGAGTCTGGGAGGGAAGATGGAGGAAGGGGTGCACCGGATATCAGCCTCGTACGAATCGTCACGTGCGCTGCAAGGTGACGTACGCGACCCACCTGTCTCCTCGCATGGCTTCACCCTAACTGCGATGGGCCGATGGACGGTCCTCTCTCTCTGAGATGAAACAGAACAACACGTCAGAGCGTCAGAGCGAGTCGTCCCAAACACGACCCGGGGGCGTCTCTTGAGCGTCAAAGCACCTTCGGCAAGGTCAGAGACAGTTTACACACGGGGTCCCCCAGAAGCTTCGGGTCCATCAGGACCGGCCCGTCTCCTCGCCACTCCAGCTGACCTCTGGTGACCTTGTAAAACACGGCCGTGCCCTTGTAGTGGGGCGAGCTGTGGTTGCCGAAGGGGTCCACTTCGGTCAGACGCACCACCAGGTGACTCCTCTGCTGATAGTGGAAGGGGATCCGCTCGAGCGGGACGCCACGCCGGTCGCCTTGGATACCGGCTGTGAAAAAACCCCAAAACACCCACGTTCAAGATCTCATCACTTCCACCGACTGAACCAAGATCTTCCGCTGTGTCTGTCTTTTCCAGCACCAGGACAAATGTGTTCAGACCCGGTGGAAACCCTAACCCTGAACCCTGAACCCTAACCCTAACCCTGAACCCTAACCCCTAACCCTAACCCTGGTAGCTATGTGTTATTTTTCCACAACTTTTCTTCCCGTAGCCAAAAGACTGGAAGGACTGGCGTATCCAAAACCTCAGTGTTACGCTCATCTGTGTTTTCCTCACTCAAACTTTCCAATAGTTAAGATCCTGTCATCTTTAACCATCATTCCGACTTAAAGGAGCAGTGTCTAGGAATTAGTGGCATCCAGTGGTGACCCAACTGAATAAATTCACTGTTCCCATCCATCATGTTCGCTTCCTGAAGCGAGCTAAAAAGATTGTAGCCGACCCCGCTCACCCCGAACAAAACCTGTTTGTGCCCCTTCCATCTGGCAGGAGGCTGAGGTCCATCAGGACTAAGACCTCCCGCCACACCAACAGTTTCTTCCCGTCGGCAGTCGGGCTCATCAACAGAGCCGGTCCCCCACTGACCGACTATAACATTCCACCGGTCACTCCCCTTCACACTGCACATGCCACTTTAACTGTCATTCATCACTTTGTCGTCACTCGTCACTTTGTTACTTGTTCGCTAGTGCACTTTATGCTTAATATTTTTTTACTTTTTTAATATTTTTTATATTTTTCTAACTTTATTCTATTGTTTTATACTAACCCATAGCCTTATTCTACTAACCCATTGCATTAGCATTAGCATTTCATTTTACTTTATTTTATTACTTGTGCACTACTGTCTTGTTGTCTATTGTTTACTGTCACGCACCAACCGCCAAGACAGATTCCTTGTATGTTTTGGCATATTTTGGCAATAAATGTTTCCTGATTCCTGATCATCACCAGTCACATGTATTAACAGCAATGGCCAGTAGGGGAAAAGTAGGATGCGTTTTTTGGACAACCATCCCCGGTCACCCTACCCTCGGAGGCGATGTTGCCGCCGAAACGGAGGAGAAGCTGGTCCCCCTCGCACATGGAGATCTCGGACGAGGCCTCCGATAGGCCTCCGTAGCCCCGGGCCCGCAGCCTGGACAGCTCCCAGCCGAGCTCCCTGCTGGGCAGCGCGGCCGCCAGGACGGCGCGGGGCTCGTCCCGCCGCCGCTGGAGGACGACGGTGACGGCGTGGCAGCGGGCCGACTCCTCCAGCTCCTCCGCCAGGGAGGCGAGGCGGCAGGGCCGCAGCGGGGAGAGGAGGCGCACCGCCAGCAGCCTGGGAGGTGCGCACAGGTGAGCACAGGGGAGAGATGGGTCCGTTATCAGGGGAGGGAGGGGGGGCACCGGATACAGACTTAATGCACTTAGTTTGAGATGAAGAATTCATGTTACATATATTACTCCCCGGGGAAGCCGCTTTAGATAAGAGAACTAAAGCACATGGGAGAAATAATAATGTATTCACTATTCAATCTTTTTACGCGGAGCTAAAAAACAGAAAGGCAATCTGGAAACCTTTTCTTTCCTATTATCTGTGACTTTTATACCCTTTGTACCACGTCCCCGGGTTCTGACACAGAAACGCTGAAGCTCGGAATTCAAAGCTTTACTCCCTTTATCCACTCGGCCTTTTTTGCTTTAAGTCCTTTTGTAAAGAAAAGCTCACTCTGAGTCTGGTTAATTGTAGCCTCTTATCGTGCCGAGTTTACGGGTGTTTTAAGTGAAAGGCATTCAATCCCAGAGAGGTGGAGGAGCGCTTCTCTCTTTGTTTGACTCCAGATCACACGAGACAACAAAACCACTTACTAAAAAGAGCTTTTCTTCCAAATCAGTAGAGTTAAGGGGATTATCAATAGTTATGTGAAAGGAAATACGTATCCACTCCAGTACTGCTTTACTTCTTGCTTTTTGGTTATTGTAAGGGAATATTAGGTAATATCTTTGTCATTTTGTGTGAGATCACTGTGAGGTCAATACTGCTACAACTGTGTAGTTCCAGGAGGAAACCACGAAAACATGCATGTGACTGCCCTCTCCTGCTGAAACACTGAAACACATTTTATTTAACGGAGCCAAAGACGGCACCGTTTTGAAGTCCTCTTGTTCCGGATAACTCATCATTTCCAGGTTGCAGGCTGCATCTCGGATAAAAGAAGGTGCACACGACCGGACGGAAACGGTCCCGCTTTCCTTTCGATCGCTCCGCGAAGGCTGAGAGTGTTTTCCCCGTCTTGTGCTCAGGCGCAGGATTTATTACGTCCCCGTCTGAGCCAAGGGCACCACTGCATCACCCTGCGCCCGTGTATTCCCACAGTACCGTTGAAGGTCGTCTTTTCGTGCAATATTTTGGGGGGTTTCTGTGTGTGCTTTTTCCGTTTTTTCCTGCGTTACATCGGCACAGGATGCGACACAGATGATGCTCCAGATGAGCGTCGGCCTGCCGCCCTGACCCTGACCCTGACCCTGACCCTGACCCTGACCCTGACCCCGACCCCGACCCTGACCCTGGGCTCGTCTGCACTGTCTCTGGTGGACCGTCGGGCTTTCATGTCGGTACCGGCTCCAGAGGTCTGCAGCACGGCTTAACGAGATAAGAATTCCCTTTGCTCCGGCCTGCAGTTGCTCCCAATCTTGCGTTATAATATTACTACTGTAGTAAGATTATGCATCGTGTGTATGCCTTCCCTTCCAATGTGTATTTCTTTTCAGTCCTTTAAATCCCTTCGATCGAAGTATCTATATTCGATGTTTTTTATTTTCTGCAAACCTGTCAAAGTTCTCCGTCAGCTCGAAGGACACCAGTCCGTTTTGCTGGTTCCGGACCACCACTTCGTCCAGGACCCTCCACTGCTGGTCCCTCGAGCCCAGAACACTCAGCACCTCGTTGGACATCTCTTTCACAGAGGCCCCCGGGACTCTTAAGACACACGTCGAAAAACAAAAACAAAAAAACGCATCAGGCGGTTGCCGCGAGGCTAGATCGTTAAAGCCTGACTCCGCTCACCTCCTCCCGTGGTGCTCCCGCTCCTCCTCCTCCTCCTCCTGCACTCCCGCGGGCCTCTTCTTTTCCGGGTTCGGGGCGCAGGGCAGGGTGACCGTGAGGGGTCTTCTGAGGTGCTGGGAGGACGGGTGGGCGAGGTGGAGCAGCGGACTGGTGGACACCACCGGGTGGTAGGCGTCGCCGCGGCACTTGGCGGCCGCCAGGAAGCCGGCATCGAGCGGCTGGATCTGAGGCAGATGAGGCGACAGCTGTTTGGACAGAGATGCTGCGGCACGCTGCGTCGCCAGAGAGCGGGAGAACAGACCATCTCAGATCGAGCGCAGTGGAGTTAGTTTACGGCAGAGGTCGAACGGAACGTCGGCCCCGGATGTTCGCCCTTCCGCTCGCGTCTGTGAGAAGTCGAGTTACGAGCTCATCTGCTTCTCCCGCGGTTTTCGTCTCATTCTTTTGGAGCAATTTCCATTTTTTGCAACGTGGAATTGGATTTTGAAGGCATGATCTTTATTTACTCACAACACGTTATTAACCAGTGAAGTGAAAGTTTAAAGAGGCGAATGGACGGCGATGGAACCCTCGTCTCCGTACCACGGTCTGGGCCATCACCGGGGCGCTGAAGGATCCCGGGAGGTAGCTGAGGCAGACCCGGGGGTCCGCGGTCAGCTTGAGCGACAGACCCCTCGTGGGAACCGTGAAGTTTTCCTTTTTCAAACAGGAAACCACGGCGAAAAGGCCCAGGGAGTACACCTTCGCCTCGGCAAACGAGCCCTGACAACAGACACGCACGCAACATATTCCAAAATCATCCATTTTTGAAGAAGTGCGTGAGTTATTTATGACGAGAGGAAACACCGCTCCGGCCAGCTGGTACCGCCTCCGTCAGCCTTCAGCGTCAGTTGTACAAAAAACATCTTTACGGAGATGAAAGCGGAAAAGATGAACCAGTTTTGTTTGGACAATGTCTTTCAGACGGAACACCATGTGTCTCAGTGGATAACTGTAAATGTAACGTCTTAACGTCACAAAAGGTGCATCAAAAGGCTCGTTATTGGCACCATGTAAACCACATGGAAAGGTCGATCCACCAGAACCTTTTTACTTCAGATAACACTGTTATTTCTACCGAACGGTCTAAATAACAGTGTTACTTTTACTATATTATAGCATATTACTTCACAAACGGAAGGTATTATTTTATATATTAAAACAAAGAGTGAAATTGACAAAAACAAATAACTTTCTCAAGAAATCACATCCAATTTATATAAAATGCACTTACAAATATGCTTATAAATCAAAATGAATAAGTAACTTTTTCCGCAGTTAGACACTAATAATAATAATAAATAAATAGAAGCAAACTTTACCCTCTGGCCTCCATACGTCCCCTCTGTGGTCACAGGAGCAACGTAGCTGGTCCTCCTCTCCCCATCAACCACCTTCACCGCTACGTCCCTGTAGTTGCCGCGGTAACGCGTGCAGAAGGGCACCACGATCGTCACGGGGAAGCGGATGTTTGCGCCGTCGTGAACTTTGACCCGGATCACCCGGCTGACCAACTCCTCCGAGCCGGTCACCATCAGGCAGCTCAGCGCGTCGGCCACCTCGCACCTCAGGGCCTCGGCGACGCCCTCGGGTGCTCGGATGAAGCACGCGTCGGGTACGTCGCAGTGGGTCCCCTCCCGTTTACCGGTGAGCCTAGAAATCAAGTTCACACCAGACACTGGACCTGGAGCTCGGGATGGACAGATGATATTTTCATATTCATCCTGGAATTCATTAAGGGAAATATTATCATTCCCAAAAAAGTGAGAGTGACCACATTTCCAGATCGGCTTCTCCCAGACTCTTCGAATTTGCCCGATTATCCTTTGGCTTTTGGACCAATCTGGGCCTTGACCTGACATTTGACATGTGCACTTTGTGATGAGCCGCTTGCATGCATGCACACGCATGTAAAAAGGTAATAAGTACAATTCAAATATTTCTTACCCGACTTTGATCCATTCCTTGTTTTCCCTACTCGTGTCCTTTTCCCTCTCCTCCTCCGGTAAATCTGTCTCCCCCTGGAGAGAAACACAGTCCTCCTTTCCTTCCCCTTGACCTTTGACCGGTCCATCTCTCGCCGGCTCCTCCGCGTCGCCGCTGGCCGACCTCCCGCCGACTCCTGATTCGGGCGCTCGCGGCGTCGCGTCCGCGCCCCCGCCGCCTTGTCCGCGCTCAGATTCCGATGATCCGGCGTCGTCTTCGGGCTGCTCCGGTACGTTCGGAGCGCCGGCCTGGTGGAGCGCCGCCGCCGCCGCGTCCACAGTCGAGGCCTCCGCTGCACGCGACCTGAGGATTTCTTCGTCCAGCCGGGCTACGGTTGCGTTCATCGTGTCCACAATGTTGTCTACGTTCTTCTCGACGCTGAGGAAAGTGTCACCGAAGGAGCGTGAACGAGGTGCCACGGCGCCCTCGGCTAGAAGGGGGAAAACAAACAAAAGCAGTGTGGACTGCTGCAAAATAGAAAAATGCAAAATGGCGGTTTGTACATGTTTTCCCGCTTGAAATCCATTTCACACGCGACACTTAAAATTACTTCTGCTGATTCAAATCCCTGTGCAACCTGAACTTCTTCCTTTTATTTCATCACGAACCCCCTCAATTTGAACTTTGAGACCCTTTAGATGCTTCCGGTCCTTCCTTCACTTCTATGTCTTTCTCAGACAAGGCTTGGAAAGACCTTCATGGGTCCCGTACCTGTTGTGGGCGGACGTTGGTGATCACGCCCCCCCGCTGAGGACCTGTGGGCACCTTCTCTGAGGACTCCTCTCCACGCCGCCACTCGGTCTGCGTGCAAAACACTCAGCTCCCTCAACGCTCCCAGAACCCTCCGCTGGCACTCTCTTTCCTCAACGTCCTCCTCGCCTTCCGCGGGACTGAGCGTCCCTTCGTTGCCGCCCACCTGCCCCCGTCCTCCCACGCGTCCCCTCCCTCCCGCCGCCCCGTCGTGATGATGACCCCTGCGGCCCCTGACAGCTTGAAGCCTCCGAAGAGTTTCGGTCAAAGCGCCGAGGAGGCCGCTTTCCCTCGTCCCGCCGCGAGGAGACCGGGCTCCGTCCATCGGGGATTCGCGGCAATTTGCTGGGCTGGAAAAACACAACTGATTAAAACCAATTAACTCGATGATGGTGAGTAGTCGATAGTCAAATTTTCAGCAAAGATCCACGGCGTTCCCTCGCGTAGCGCCTTCTACCTCCGAAGCTGAAGCCCCCTCGTTCGCTGCGTCCTCGGCATCGAGTGTTACCGAGGACAGCTTTCCCAGTTTACAAGAGCCAATGCCTTATTTATGTGGCTGCCAGTGGTAAAACATGTTGCCAGGACGACCCCTGGAGGCGTGACTGGGGGGAGTGGGGGGGCAAACCACAGAGCAAAAGGCTCAAAAGAAGACAGAGTGCTGTCCTCCAGACCTCTCATCCGTCTCTTCTGTTCGCCCGTCACTCCGTCCAGCCAGTGAAAGACACCAAGTTCCTTGAGTTCAGTCACACAAAGAAAAGGGGGATGACTTGGTCATATATCCTTCATTTTATGTAGCAGCAACCTAAGTTGTTTTGGGGGGGGGGAGAAGTATTCATGTATACCTCAATACAAAAGGGCTGTATTACCAGCAAAGTACATTTACCGTTTATTGTTTGCACTCAAAGTAACATCACTTTCAGAGTGCTGTTGACTAATTGAAATCCCCCAAGATAATGAAAAAGTAACGATTTTTCTAGTCTTAATATATACGGTTGCAAGTTGCAATTGCAGTGAGTTACTCGCGACACTGTTGACACGAACACCCTGCAATGTGTTTTATAAATTAAATAAAAATGTCAATTTTGAGGGAGAGAACAGAAGTATGAAAAGAGCGAGTTGCCTGCAAGCTGCTGCGGCGCTTTGTCACCATCAAGTGGCCGGAGCCGTACCCATTTCATCACTGCTGACCCGTTAAGCAGCGATGGTCTCCATCCAAGGGCACGGAGAGACAAACGATTCACATACAACGACACGTTTAACATGTTCAAGTTGAATTAAAAAAATGTGTATTCATCATAGTGGAGTTTAAACATGGTGTTTGTCTTAAAGTAACTAGGCCCCGCCGCCCAGAAATGGTACTGACCATTCAACTTGACCCTGAAATTTAGTTGTATTTGCCATGGATTGTACCTCAAGTAGGCTTGTAGTCCCATAAAGTAATAACAGCCCTTAAACTGCCAGTTATGTTTCACATATGCAATCTTTTAAAAAAGTGTCTGTTCATCATTCAAATGGTCTGTTCAGGAATGTCGTCCGCAGTCTTCGATATAACACATCCGCCACCCGAAGCGATTCTTCTTCTGTGTTGTTGTGTTCCTCTCGGAGTCGCTCCGTCAGGTGCGCCGGGCATCCTGCCGCATTCCTGCCCGTTATGAGTGCGTCGCCATGGGGGAAAAGGATAGAGGGGGTCGGGGGGCGGGGGGAGGCTTTGGGGCTTCAAGCCGGCACATGCAAATCTTCGCTTCTTCGCCCGCTTGCCGATGACGTTGCAGGAGCGTTTGAGGTACTTCTCTCCTGTCGGGACAGGCTCGCGCTTACTTAACAAATTGCAGGTAGGAGGCCAGGAAAGGCGCGGGAATGGGCGTGGCCAACCACGCGGAACGAAAAGACCGCAGCACGAAAAAAACAAAAGAAAGGAAGAAAGAAAGAAAGAAAGAAAGAAAGAAAGAAAAAAGAGAAAAGCGGACGCAGGGGAGCGCGCGAAGCAGCGTGCGGAGAGCGCGTGAGGTGCCCTCTCGCGTCTTAAGCCGCAGGTAAGCCTTTTTAAAACACACACACACACACACACACACACACACCTGACACGCTACAACGTGTGACGTAAACACCCCGGATTTAGTGTCGCAGAACGGGAACTAATGTTAAGCTCGAGTTAAATAAGCGTCGTTTGGATTTTGTGTTGAGCGTTAATTTACCAGGTGGGGGGGTCAAACTGCGTCACTCACACTTAAGCTTGTATACTAGTGGCGTTTTTGCCTTGTTTTATTAAACATTAACGGACGCACACCGCACGTGCAACCCGCGCTGCTGTCAACACGGTTAACCTTTGACACTCCTAACAAACGTGCTTTATTATGTTTTCGTGAATAAACGTCATGCATATTGAAGGGTTTATTAATCAAGCAGGACAAGCGTGCCCAGGTGTTGCTTTGCGCCAAACTAGGAAAGGAAGACAAGCCATTGCACTTTGCCCCGAGCTGGTTGGCTGAGAGGGTGTGCGTGCGCGTGTGTGTGTGCGTGCAGAAATATGATGCGCTTGGTGTGTGTGTGTGTGTGTGTGTGTGTGTGCGCTAGTGCGCATGCGTGGGCGTGCATGCGATGACTCATTGTTGTACCATACCTGTAGTGTGCTTAGTGGGTGGAACATCCCCCCCATTCCCCCTTTAGCCGGCACCACGCTCTCTCACGTAGTTTCTTTTTGCACAGAATCTTATATTACATATAGGCCTTGCTGTTTTAGTCACAACATAAATGTGTGTGCTGCCTTCTTGCCTTCCGTTTGAATGTTTATGTCTGCACACACACACACACACACACACACACACACACACACACTCTCACACTTAACATATGTCGCCATGAGGATGTGCAACTTTTTTGAAACTCTTCAAAAGTTCTCTTTTGGCTCCTGTAAAGGTTCTAACCCCCCTGTGTGTGTGTGTGTGTTTTTTTGTTTTTTTGTGGGGGGGGGGGGGGGGGCATATAAGCGGCAGAAGGCAGAAGTGAGGAGCAGGTCAGGTCAAATGGTGACAGAAGCCGGCGTGATGGTCCACGGCGAGGACTGAAGCGAGGAAGAAACACGTTTCAGCTAACTAAGCGACGTGGCCACGTAATAATAAGACGGTTCTGCACAGCATCCAGGAACACAACGTAACATTCTGAGAACTTACTTATCAGTCCAGAAATAGCCCCCGTGCTAAAGGGGAAGAGCTTATTCATCCTCCATAGTTTAAGGTGCGTATGTGTGTATATATATATATATAAAAAGTGATCTCAACGGGGGTTTCCGGTCCTGCATGCTCAGTGAACGGCTTGTTCACACGTTAAGCCACACGATTGTGCCCACTTGAAAGCAGAAGTAACACTTTGTGTCCCTCGAGCGCCGTGGGCTTGCAACCCAAAAGAGAAGTGCACTTGGCAAGATGTTGAAGTGTCTAACTGTGAGTGTGTGTGTGAGAGCGAGAGAGAGAGAGAGCGCTGTTCTGTCACACAATTAATTAGTTCTCGACTTTGAAGCGACGGACTTCTGACGATAGCTTGAAATTCCAATGGTGGTCTGCAAGTAAAGCTCTGACCCTTTTTGTTGTTGAAACTCCGCTCGTGAAGGAGACGGCGTCCGTCTGCCTTTCCGCAGGAATCCGCCTCGTGTGTCATCAAGTATCGGACCTTAAGGTGAGTGTCTTGCGCTGTAACTGCGCTGTTTCTTCACCGCTCTTGCTGCTTCCTGCTGTTTCATCTTGTGCAGTGCTGCAAATCGAGATTTGTGTAAAGGGAAAGAAAGTGTGGAGCACGAAGGTGTGAATGGAAGACGGATCAGAAAATGATATCATGAGCGAATGATTTTCACAGTGTTGATGGTTTTCAAAAACATCCCCTACTACACTGTGCGTATATCCTTGAGCAGCGTGTGATTTAGTTTTCCAAACATCACGTCCAGTTCCCGGTATTTTGGAATGACATTCGGGGCTCGGGCTTATTTCTGCTTGCCGTGATCATTTTTGAAATACTTGAATGGGAGAATCGGTGCGTTCAGGGGCTCTTTCACGAGCACCTCGCTGAGTTTTATTTACTTCCTCTGCTCTTCCTCCGGGTAGTGGCCGCGATTCGCCGTAAAGAAGGCTGCTTTTCTTTGACGAGGTGTCGTCAGAAATGGACAGGAAGTGAAAGTCAAACCTCAAGTACATGCAGACCTGCAGATCTATCCACAAAGAAAGCAATACATATCACTTTTGAGGAACCAGATAAATTTAGAATTTTCTGTTACAGAACCTATTTTGCCCTTTTTGTCAACAGTTTGACGCCGGGCGCCCGGATCCTCCTGAGCGAGCTCCCGATGTGGCGGCGGTGAGACCAGAGCATCATGTCGGAGCCCGCGGAGCCCAGCCAGGAGATCGCCGAGTGGCTCTCCGCCCTCCGCCTGTCCCAGTACGCCGCGTACTTCCAGCGAGGAGGCTACGGAGCTCTGAAGGACTGCAAGCACCTCACCGACAATCAGCTCCTGGGGCTGAAGGTGTTTCCCACGGGCCACCGCAGGCGCGTCCTCCGCAGTCTGGAAGCACTGGGGGTGAAGGAGGCGAGCGGCGGCGGCGGCGGCGGCGAGGAGGAGGACGAAAGGGGAGAGGAGGCGAGCGGGACGGTTCGCGGGAGGCCCGTGCCGCACCCGAGGCACATCTTCCTGAAGGACAAGAGGAGGGGCACGTCGTGTCAGCATCAGCCAAAGGAGACGAGGGGCCGCGAGGCAGAGGGGAGTCGAACGCTGCCTCCGGGAGCCGGACTGGGAGCCCGGAGCGGGGACGCCCGGCCGCCGCAACCGGCCCCGCGCGACCCCCGGAACATCCAGCGAGCCCAGCCGGAGCGACCCGGTGTCCCTGCCGCCGCCGCGTCCTTCTCCACCAGCAGCACCAGCAGCTGCGAGTCGCTCGCCATCTCCGAGTCCGCCTCCGACAGGGAGATTTCCTCGGAGGGCCCCTCGCCGCGCAGCGCCCACTCCTTCCCCGAGGACCGGTTTCTGTTTCAGGGCGACATGGTGGACAACTCCATCTACGCGGCCACCCCCATGGCTCCCGCGGGCCCGCGGATCACCCACTCCTACCGGCTGAGGCACCGGCCCGTCCCGGAAATCCCGGACCTCCCCGCCCCGCCGCTTCCGGAGAGGTAATGGCATCGATTTTAAAAGGAGGGGGGGCGGGTTCGGGCCTTTTGAGACTCTACCGAGGTGCGGCGTGTCTGGCGCCACATTTGCCGCGCGCACGATGAAAGCGGTATCAATCGTCCCGCTTACCTCTCGCGATGAAAGCAATGAAGGGTGTTTTCCCCAGAAAGTTTGAACTTTTATTCCTTCGAGTGCAAAGTTTGACTTGATGAAACGTCTTGGCGGACTTTTCAAAGAAGTTAGAGGAGCGCGGCGAGAAGCACCTGGAGAAATGGGAATGCACGCCGAATGAATATCCGATTAGCGCAAACGGAGAAGCCCAGGTTTTCATTTTCAGTTCTGCATTACGTGTACATTGATGCACCTCATCCTGACCATGAACTTTCAAACTAGGAAACCAACTTTCCTCAGTTGCACATCTCCATTCTGAAGGGCATTTGTGTGTGTTGTTTTTTTTTTCCCTCTTTCCTCCTTCTTCTTCTAAACGGTGTCGCCGTCATCGTTTCCCACGCTCCGCTCTGCCGGTTTCTAACTCACCTCGTCTGTCGTCCTCCTCAGGAGCAGGCGAACATCCGGCCCCGAACACCTGGCCGCGGCCGCCGCCGAAGGTCCCACCGGTGGCGACGGCACACGGGAAGGTACGCCATCTTTTAAAAAAAAATCTGAGATGCTCCGTCGTGTCTGCCATGAATATTTCATCCGGCGGTGCTGTTGTTTGCCCGGATGAAACGAGGGAGACGGAGGGAGTGGGGGTGGGGGTATCTTCACCCCCCCCCACCCTCTCATCCACATGCACTCACCCACACACTCCTCGCATTGCGTCTCCTCAGCGAGAGCCTGCTGGGTATTCCTGTCAGCCAGTTTCTTTTCTTCTCTTTTTATTTTTTTTATTAGAAGTTGTTTAACTTTGCTAACAACACACAGGCTTGTACTACAACCGGGACAAATCCGCTTTGAGCCCCCCAACCCCCCCGTTCCCTCGCTGCCTGCGTTGGGATTGCTCGACCCCTCGGGTCTCGTCTGTGTGGAGGTAGACGCGGGTTGTCTCCCGGGGTCTCTGAGAATGCGTCCACTTGTCTTCTCGCGGGTCGCCATCACTTCCTTCACTCACTCCCTCCCTTCACGTTTCTCTTTCGGCTCCTTGTTCCGTGTGCCGCAGCAGTCTCTTGGTACACGTGTGTGTGTGTGTGTGTGTGTGTGTGTGTGTGTGTGTGTTTTTCCCTGCAACTTTTTCTCCAGGAGGAACAAGACGGGGAGCGAGACTTGAGAGGAGCGGGAGCTGTGTGGGTTTGGGAGGGAGGACGAGGAGGTGGATGCAAAGCAGGCCCCTGAGCGGGGACGCGGGGAGCTCGACTGGAGCGGTTTGACATGTCATTTCAACCCCAGCACAGAGTTTACTCCCGAGATGAGATCCGGAAGCCTCCCGCTGTTCAAGCACACAAGCTCGCCGCTGAATGCTAATCGACACCTCGGCAGATCCAAGAAGCTCACGAAGAACACGGTTCCATTGGCGACTAATACCAAACGTTGCCCTTGTTAGGCTACTTTGTAAGACACACTCTAGTCCAACCCGTTCCCCAGCAGCGTTTAAGGACGTGTTGACCCTCACTGTGACCCCTGCATGCGCACTTCTTCAGGGGATGTTTTTCAGTATGGTCCAGCATATTATTCCAGGAGGAACAGCCACCATGGAAACGATGCAAAACAAGCCCTCGTTGTCATCGCCATCCACAAGACGATAAAGAAAGTGGGTAAAACACGTCCCCGACAGCATAGCAGGGAAAGAGAGAGAGGGTCCGGTTAAAGAAGCAGCAGAACCGGCGAGGGAGGAAGCGAGGCGATCCGACAGGAACGGAGCACAGTGGCGTTGTGGCCCTCGGGCCCATCGGAGAGAACCCGCGAGCAGCGGCCCCAAGGTCGGGGCCGATAGATGATGGCCGTCGCCGGCCAGTAAACCCGCCCCTCCCCCCTCCCTCCTCAGAGCCATTGCCCTTTTGTCCCCGCCCCCCCCTCCTTTCTCTAATGGCGTGGAAGCCTTCAGAAGTAGAACATCCACTCTGCACTTACTCCACTGTCCATCCTTTTTACGTCTGCGTTTTGTCCCGTGGGCGTCTTCACGTGTCCGAGGGTGCTTTTGATCGCGTGCTTTTCTGCTTCTCTATCTGTGTGAGTGTGTGTGTGTGTGTTGCCCCTCAGCGGCGTCTTTCGGCCCTCCCAGTCCCCAGGAGAGGGTGGTGTCATTTTTCACAGTGACAGGCTGCGGCCCACGCACGGCGGCCCCGGGTCTCCAGACTAATAGTGTCTGGACGGAGTCTCTCCGCTCTCCATCCTTTTTGTTGTGCCCGCCGCCCCCTCCGTACCCCACGCAGCAGCCGCGACTGAGAGAAATGGCCCTGGCACGCGGCGTGGCGGGGACACGCCGAAGGGGAACAGACTCCCCGCTTGCGGCGAGGGAAAGGGCCGCGGCAGAGCGAGACAGGCGCGCTGAAACCGAAATGTAATTAGTTTACGGCTCCCAGGGATCAAGTGTGTTCACGTTTATTCAGATCAATGAGTCGGTTTTTTTTGGGGGGGGGCCCGTCACTGTCATGCACCACGCTTAGGCCTCCACGCCGCGTCCCGCGAGTCTTCATTCAAGGCCAAGTAACCCCCGCCCCCACCAAAACCTGCCTGTGTCTGTTTTCAGCTCCACTGCAGAGAGCGCCGACGGTCATCGCTCCCTACGGAGAGCTGTTCCTGTACAACAACCCCGAAAGCACTCAGGTAAGAAGGCGGCGCACAAGCGGCCGCGTCGCCAAAGAGGAACCAACGCTTCTCAGATCTCCGACCACAGGCCACACGCTCACCCCGGAGCTTCCCCTTGAGTCGACGCGTTGTCACAGCAGAGTGACCAGAGTGAAACGGCGCCGGGCCACGGCCACGTGAACCCGCGCTAACCTCCCGTGTGCTCCGCAGGGCCGCGGCGCCACAGACCGGCGGCAGAGGGGCTTCAAGGACAAGATGAAACAGAGGAAACTGAGGTGTGGTGCAAACCGATGCGTGAGCTTATTCCATAAAAAATGAAGGGTCGGCACAAAGTACACGGCATTGTAAATGGCATGAACACATTTTGGGCTGTCGGTATACATTTCACACGACTGTTTCATCATATCATTCGGCCATTTACTTTCATGTCGTTTCACGAGATGAAGATGTGATCATAACCACCGTGTCTAGTTATAAGAGAGTCGAAGGGAATTAGCTTAGCTTAGCATGAATACTGGAAGCCATGTTGAAATGGTTAACATGTCTCAAACAATAATAACCACTTCTAGATTTAATCAATTCATTGATTTTACCATGTTGTACAAGTTGTTTATTGGCTGTGTGAGTTGTTGTTGTTGTTGTTCAGTAAGTAGTTAGAGCACATAATAAAAAAACAACTAAACTTCTGTTCTGTTTAAAAAGAAAAAGAAATGTATACATCACGTTGTCAGGCCAGTCGTTTGTCATCTCTGCTCCTCCAGAAAGAAGATGCCTGAGCGGAAACAATCCAAGGAAAAATTTCTCCCCCCCGCCCCCAAACCGGCGGACTCGGACACCGACGAATACTCAACCGTGAAGCCGGCGTGTGAAACCGGCGCCTCCGGCCAAGGCCCCGAGGGTCCCGCCGTGGGGCCGGCTGCCCCCGACGCCGGCTCCTTGGTGATGGTGGAGTGCGACCTCTACTCGGAGGCCGCGGACGCCCCCGGCGGCGGGACGGGCGCCGCCCTGCCCGACATCTCGCCCTACGCCTGCTTCTACGGGGCCCCCAAACACCAGGTGCTCAAAGTGGGCTGGCTGGACAAGCTCTCCCCCCAAGGGTAGGTCGGAGGAGGAAGAGGAGGAAGAGGAGGAGAGGAGGAGGAGGAGGAGGAGGAGGAGGAGGAGGCGTTCCTTTGCGGCCCCTCCCTCGTTCCTCCTCCTCCCCCGTGTCCCTTCTAACGTTGGAGGGTGATGGATGGTGTTGGATACAGATGCCTGCAGTACATCCATCCATAACGCGCAGTTGCAACCGAAGGAGAGGAGATAACCTCCTGGTATTGAGATGCTAAATATGTTGGCCCTCCACTTAGTTTGGCTTCTCCTGGCGGCACAACATCTATTTCTCTCTCTCAGCAACTTGCTCCACCAAACCCGAAGCCATCCATCATTGGCTTCCTTCCTCCCTTTTATTTATTATTTTTCCCGTTTCTCCCCTCGCTCCTCCATTTGCATGGATTTGGCAAACCGCCCGTGGCTGTTGAATATTCAAATTAAAAGTGCCCATTTGTTTTGATTATGCTAATTGACAGCTGCTGATACAACTCTTGACATTAATAAATCAATGGTACTTGATGAAATATGAGTACCTGTTCAGAGCAGCTTTAGCATCCTGTGCCTCCCGCTGTGACGGCTCCTTTCGCGCCCAAGTAGTTTTTCGCACAAAAAAAAAACCCCTCCCGAGATGTACGGATTGAATGTGCTCCTTCTCTCTGCAGGAACTGTGTTTTTCAAAGGAGGTGGGTGAGATTGGACGGCGACAGTCTGGCCTACTACAACAACGACAAGGTACCGTAAGGGCGGGGGACACAGCCTCCCTTCTCTCCTTCCTCTTCCTCCTCTTCGTCATCGGCATCAGCCGTATAGGAGAAGCACGTTGGCACCTGACCAGTTCCCCCGAGGTAGAAGGGGGGGGGGTCGGAGGGGGAGACTTCTCTCTCTGTCTCTCTCTCTCTGTCTTTGCCCGCGCTCAGCATTTCTCTCCCCCGGTGCCTCCCTCTTCATTCTCCTCCTGTCTGACAGCTCGGCGTTGCGTGGCTCATTCAGAGGGAGGGAAAGGTTTTGTGGGGGTGTGTGCATGGGGGGGGCAGAAAAGCAGTGTGGCAGTTTCACCTCCACCTGTTTGGTTTGCAACCATTTGGTATCGCTGCCGTGGCATCTGTGCTGGGATTGTGGAGAGCAGAAGACAGAACTTCATTTAGATGAGGGTCCGTGTCTGATTTGAGGAGTACGCTCCCTGATTCTGGACGCTCTTGAATATTTAATCTCCCCCCCCCCCCCCCCCGGATGTGTTTTCAGTCATCACCCCCCCCCTAAAAAAAGCTTCCATCCTGCAGAGCTTGCAACTCAATCTGACCTCGCGGCACATCATGACGCAACGGCGCTGCAACCGCTGACTGTGGATGTTACCGTGAAACCAGCGATTCCCCAACACAAACAACAACACATGTACCAGCCGGGTGAGACCTTCGTCGTCCCCGGGTGTCATCCGTTCCAGAAAGGCCTCTAACGCCCGGGTGACACTGCTGTTCTTAACCCGACATGTGCTTTGCCTTCACGTTCCTGCTAATGAGCGTCTGATGCATCCACAACAACCACGTTCCTCTCCGTGCGCGCGTGACCTTGGCGGCCCTTTCCCACGGCCGGCTCGTTTCCTGTTGCACAACGCCGCGATCGATGATGTGGCACATGTCTGCAGACCCGCTCGTTAATCACTTACTAATTATAGCCCTCTGTGCCCCCCCCCTTCCCCCGTTGTCAAGGGAGGTTGTCGGCAGGGAGGCCGCCGAGTCAGCACTTTACGCTCGCCTAGTCTGAGTCGGCAGGAGCGGCGCGGCGGATTCTGGGAAGGCCAACGTTTGCCCGTGTGAGCTTGTGCGTGGTCGCGTGTGAGGGGAGGGGTCAGAGGCCGTTTTCTTTCAGGGTGAGCCGAAGGGTCGGGCGCGATCTCTCCGTCTCACCCCTCCACCGCGATGGCAGCTGGGTGCATCGTGGCACGTGTCAGAAATAGTCGGCGGCTGGCGGTGCAGGTTGGTAAGGCTCCGTTGCACCGGCAGAAGACTGAGCGAGTCAGGGGCTTCAACTACTGGCAGTTTGGGCAATAATTAACGTAAAGTAGTACCTCAACGGTGGCTCAATGAGGCCGCATAGCGTCAAGCTTGAATTTGCAAGGCGGGTTGAAATGGGTTTGGACTTTGTATTATTTACCCGAATCGACGGTGTCATCACGCACTGCCATCATTCCCGATGACTACATCAACGGCGACGTGGCTAGATAATACAAAGTTGAAATCCATGGGAATGAAGTGCAACCCGCTGCGGAATCCGTTTGCCTCAAATCTGTAAGTCGGTTGAATGTTCGCACACGTCTGGCAGAACTGGCGCAGCCTGCCCTGGACCTCCAGATCGGACCATTAAACGAAATAAAAGTTTGATCTCGACATGGTTTTGTCTTTCGTGCTTTGATCACACTGTGCAGCCTTCATCCCTCCCCCCCAAATGCCTCGACACAAAACCATTCCCATGCTCGGTCCCTTTCTCCCTCTTTCAACACCCCGAAAGAAACCGCTTTTTGTAGTTGAAAATCCCCTGGAATCTGCCAGCCTCAGACGGAACTAATCGCACTTAATCGCAGTCGCAGCTTGAAGGTCTCCAGCCGCGGTGATGTCATCACCGGGGTAGCGGAGGTGGCGTGGGAGAGTAGCGAGATCCTCGGTCTCACTTCTCCCTCTCTGCCGCGTCAATCTCCCCCTTTTCGGCGGATTTCGTCAACACACGGGATTGACTCGGGAGGACGCTGAGATGTTGTCTTCAGGGTCCCGGTGTGTGTGTGAGTTTAGGAAAACATTCCTAAGCCTGGCTTCAGGGAAGTGTGGAGGATGGCTTGAGGGAAGGGTGGGGGGGGGGTGTAAGAGATGAGAGGATGGGAGGGAAACGTGGAGGCTGAATAGGAGGCCAAAAGGGGAGATGAGGTTTTTAGGACCGGAGATCAGTCTTTGGGTGCATCTGTCTGTCGGTCTGACGCTGCAAAGCTCTCTTTTTCCAAAGCCCGAAAGCTCCCCTGCTAACCCCCCTCCTGTGAACCCCCCCCCCCAAATGCCCTCGCAGACGCTTACTGTAACACCTCAAGTGCTTCTTTTTTTCCCCCATCAAATTCCACGACAAAAAAAGCATGAAACGTCTTTGGCAGCAATCTGTAAACCTCATTCTGGGTTTGATTCCCTGTGCGCTTTGTGGCCTGATCATCTTTTAATATCCAAAAATTCCTATACTTGCACAGTTGGACTTAGGAATGTGAGGAATTTGAATTCACCTTCGTCCTCCGAGAAAGGGGGGGGGGGCATTTACCACCTTGGATTGAAAGGGGGTCTCTAGAAGATTGGGGGGGTTGGGGTGTTGGAGGCGGGCCCTCTGGGGATTAGGTTGAGCCACTGTTTACATCTCGCTTTTATATGGAAAGAACCCCCCCCCCCCCCCCCTTCATTTGGACTCCTCCTCTCCCCCCCCCCACACCTTGCTTCTTCCTCTGTTGATCTGTTTCCTCCCTTGTATCTCACCCACGCTCTTGTTCTCTTCATAGCATTAGCTGTGAAAGCCGTACTCGTCGATACGTAGAATTGAAAGGGAAATGTGTGGCTCGCTGCCGCCCTTCTCAGCAGTTCCCTTTTGTCTACATTCAAGACAATGGTTGTTTTGTTTGTCTCTGAACCTCAGCAGTGAAACGCTCAAACCATCCAGGTTATCACAGATAAATGAAGCCCAATGCGACACAATGGAGCTTGTCACCTGCTGAGCCGCCGGATGTTTCCCCCGGGGAGCTGACCGAGGCTCGGAAGCAGCGTGAATAGAGAGACGTAACCCCCCCCCGATTGTACAGGAGGTTGTGTTGACAGCAACGGGTTCAAGCGGGGCGGGCGAGGCCCAATCTGCTCACGACGGGACGCTCTCAAACTCGGAGGGCAAGCGAGCGCGAGGGGTTAGCGGCCGTCGCCCTGCGGCGCTCGCCGACACTTTGAGCTCTTTTATGCTCACTTTCTGTAAGTCTGCCTTCCTGCAGACGTTGCCTCGGGGAGTTACCCACAATTCCAAGCGCTGTGACATTAAACAGCGGCTTACCGGGGGAAGCCCGCGGGGCTTTTGGGGAAAGAGCAACGTAAACAAAAGCGGAAAAAGGCGCGCGCGCGTGTTCCGCCCGGCACGCGGAAACGGCCTCATAAGGGACCCGAGGAGAAGAAGACGTGACGATGGCGAGATACAGCCGTCTCCTCCGTCAAACAAAGTTTATTGATTCCTCGACGGCTGCAAACAGATTGAACAGATTGATTGAACAAAAAAAAAATAAAAACGTGAAACCGCCGGCGCTGTGAGAACATAAACGGCGCCGAGCGTTGCGTCGATGTGCAGCCTCAGTATTGAATTAGCATGTGTTAGAAAACCCTTGTGACAAAGGTTTGACAAGGCTCCGTCTCCTTTTGGGAGTCACAAAACCGCTCCATGGTAGAACACCGTCCTCCCCGTCCTCCTGCCCGCTTGGGGGGAAACGCGCCACAGTAAAGAGGCACTTTCTCAAGAGGAGAACAGTTCTCAGTTCCCACCAGCTGGTGTCCTCGTGCCTCCATTGAAAGTGGCGTCCTTTTGGAGGCGCCGGAACAGTAACTGCGTGCTGGTGGTAACCCCCCCAATCATCCCCCCCCTAAACCTCCTCCCTGCTTTATCCCCACGCTGCCTCCATTATTGTAGGCTTTAGCTCAATTGCTCTGCCTTTAATTGTTTCCTGAAGTTTAGCAAGTTGTTTTTGAAACCAGCCAGCGCAGCTCCACCAAATGGAAGAAGAAGAAGAAGAAGTAGTTAGGCGATGATGTGACACCACCCTGCGAAGTGATAATTGATGGGTGGAGCGAGAGGTGACGACGCAGGAATGGCTGGAATGAGCGGAATGTGGGAGTTTGGGAGTGGGCGGGAGGTCAGAGTGATTGTGGGAGGAGAGGGGAGGGGGGAGAGATCTTTGGCAGAGCGAGGCCAGTCAGGTGAGTCTGTTATTGGAGAAAGAGAGATAGTGAGGCCTCATTGCTTCCTCGGCAGTACGTCCTCCCAAGATTAGCCCATAAACATTATGTGCGCGTGTGTGTGTGTGTGTGTGTGTGTGTGTTAGCGCTTTTCCAGCTACGACTCCGCTCGTCGAGTTTATTTACAGATGCACAATTCGCAATTAAACAACTGTCTCCTTCATGACCCCAAAAGTAGAATTAAAACAATTAATTACCGCTAACCCGTTCCGGAGTGTAATTAGCTGCGCGCGGCTACCAAGCTAATCCATTCACACACACACGCACACACTCCTTCCCTCACCTTCCTATAACTTCTATCTAAATATAGAGCGAGAGAAGAGTAGCGAGGGAGGGAGGGAGGTGGGGAGGGGGGGGGGGGGGGGGATTTTTGGGAAAATTCTTGGGAGAACAAACCCAGGGGGGGCCCCCCGGGAAATTGGTTGAACCAATTTTTTCCACTTTTAACCACCTGCTTTAAAAAAAAAAACCCCCCCCCCCCCCCCCTCTGACCCTCTTGGGCATCTTCATTTGGACTCCTCCCTCCCTCCCTCCTCCCCCCCTCCCCCGTGGTCGTGGATTCCGCTCCTTCCTCTGTTGTTTCCTCCATTGTATCTCAGCAGCGCTCTGTCTTCTTCCTGTCCACGCTCCTTCTCTCGGGCCTCCTCGGCCTCTTATGAGCCTAATTTCTGTGCCAGCTGCTGCATTTTGGGCCGTGTGCTCTCCAAGAATAGGCTGCCGCGGGCGGGGCGAGGTCACCCCCTTTAATTAAGGATGGCGAGAGGGAGTACGCGAGGTTCGCCTCCTCCGTCTCTCCCCTCGCCTCCTCGCTCGGTGCCTTTTTGGTTGCGGGACGTGGCGGGACAGAGACGCGGCGCTTTGAGCGCGGCAATCGCCCCCCAAGTTACTGCCCCCCCCCCCACGCGCGGGACGGCAGAGGAGGGAAATTCAGGTCAAGCCCGAAGAGAGAGACAGTCTGTTGCTCTTTTTCTTTCTTTTTTTCTTTTCATTCGTTGCAATGATAATGACATTATCGACATGAATAATGCAACGTCTGCAGCGACCCCCTTTTCTTTTTCTTTCTTTTTAGAGCCCAGTGATTGCCCCCCCGTCCCCCCCGTCCCCCTCACTGTATTGGAAGATCATTACAGTCTGACTGGTTCTTCCCACTGCTTTAAGGGCATTTCTCTGCTGTACTCACATTGTGAATACTGATGCGACGGCGCCGCCGCTCCGTCCTAGAAGTACGACAATAATTTGGATAATATTGACTCTGGATTTCCAGTTTCTTTTTCTCTCTCTTCTCTTCCTTCCGTCTCCTTTTCATATCGACGATGACCCAGTACTTTAATTGCCGTTGTCAAGGGAGGTTGTAAAGAGGGTCATGAAGCCTCCAGTGCAACATCCCTCCTTATTTAGATACCTCCGCTAGAGCTGCCGGGGGGGGAAAACATGGGGGGGATGAAACAATACACACACCCACCCACTCAAAAAGCCCTGTTCCCACTTCACCCAAATCCCCCCCACCAGCATGCTTGTCTCTTTTTTATATACTTGGGAAGTTTGGTTTCCCGCTGGAGTATTTGTCTCTATTGACACTGTTCTGTGTCTATTCTTTGGCATGCGCGCGTGTGTCCTCTCGAGTTGATGATAACCGCGTGTGTCTCCCGTCCCCCCGCAGGAGATGTACTCTAAAGGCATGGTCCTGGCCAGTGCCGTGAGACAGGTGCGGGGACTCGGCGACAACAAGTTTGAGGTGGTCACCGCCCTCCGGACCTTCACGTTCCGAGCCGAGAGAGAAGGTAGGTCCCGCCGTCCTTTTTAGAGGTCAAAGGTCAATGTCGTGTCTCCAGGGGGGAAACGACGACGAGAAGGTCTCCTGCGATTTTCCACTTTGGGCTCGGGGTCGAACTGATTTTGAATTTGGGGGTCAAAGGGGTCTCTGCGACCTCGCACGTCCGTGGCCATGACTCAAGAATTCACGCGGCGTATTTAAAGCAAAGCACCTGTCAGAAATACATTTTACCAAGACGCCAGAAGATCGACATCATGTCTCATCTCTCCCAACAACGGGATGTCAGCTGAAGTGCGCTGCCTCGATCAAACCAGATGAAAAGAAATTAAGAAAAGATGTTGTATTTTGAAAAGTTGCGGTGGAGTGACACGCTAAAGTATTAGCAAAACACAGGAGAGCGAAATGTTGGCTTGTTGCTTCACGCGGGATCCAGTCGTCATGCTAAGCTACGCTAAACAGGCCCGTCCTCCTCCTCCTCCTCCTCACAAACACCGATGTGCGATGTGAGAAGTGCAGAAGTATACGGAATGTCTTAAACGCTCCCAGAATACTTTGCTATTTAAGCGATGCTGCGCGACATCTCTGTGGCGATGACTTTGTGTCCCCGTCTGGACCGACGCTATTAAGGGGAATCTAAAGGGACGCGGCGCGTAAAAAAAAAAAAGAAATTGGACAGATTGTTAAATCTCACAGGAAGCGTCCTGTACCTGCTTCCTCCAAGGAGACGGTGCTCTTCACCTCTCGCTTCAGAGCATCGGGAACTTATTGACATGGCGACGTCAGACCGATCAATACTCTGCGTGTTGCTCGTCGGTATCGAGCGTCTCCTGCTGCTGCACCTGATATTTAGGATCCATGGTAAATTATTTCATCAGTCAGGTGAACGTTTTTTTTTTTTTTTTACAGTGTATTTCCGAGGCGATCTTTTTTAGTCTGCACCTAAAGCTGCATGAATAGCCAGATATTTGTTTTTGACTGTTTGCACCGTCTTCCAGTAAGAGGCGGCTGGGTTGACCTTTGGGGGGGGGGCTGTGGCCGTGTTGACACAGTGGTATGAAATGCATACAGGATGTAGGTTATCGTCCACGTTCTCTTGATGCTCCTTTAGACCGAGTGCATTCCGCATTTCAAACATTCCCGTTGGCTCTTCTTTACATCCCACTTCATAAAAAGAAAAGGGAAAAAAAAGAACGACTCGGCCTTTAAACTTAGTTTTATTCATCTATTTTCGCCACAGCGCTTCTCACCCCGTCGATTCGCCCCAGCGTCAAATCGATATCCGCCGGCCCTTTTTTTTTTTTTTTTTTTGTCCGCCTTTATGAGCTGCGGCTCCCCGGCGCCGTCATTTATCACGCTGTCAGCGAGCTGATCGCCATACGTCACACTCAGCCGTCCCGACAAGCGCTCGGAGGGGGAGAACGGCTGTCTTATTTGGAGGTGGCCTCTGACCGCCCGCGAGATCACCGGGAAGCCTCTCGCACAGGCGGCTGGTGCCCGTCAGAAGAGACGGTTGGGAGGAGGGGGAGAGGATAAAACTTGGCCTCATGCATCTTTAAACAGGCCCATTCGCCTCGTGGCAGGGAGTCATCAATCTTTGGGGAAACGCATGGGACAGAGGGAGAGGCGAGGAGACGGAGGGAGAGCGAAGGAGTGCCTTAGTGAGGCGGAGGTATGGAGCTGCTGGGCCGATGCAGTAGGGGAGAAAATGGAGTGAATGTGTAACGGCATCCAGGAGGGAAAGTAGAAGATGAGGACGTCGGGTGTGGGGAGGGAGGGTGGGAGGCAAGCGGGGGAGGGCGGGGGGCGATTAAATGAGGGAATAACAGGAATGGACAGAGCGAGGGAGAGCAGACACGCCATCTCTGTGTGAAGAAGCAACAGAGAGGCAAAGGGGAGAGACGGCAGGGGGAGATGAAAAGGGCAGAGTGAAGATGGAGAGAGGGGGGAGAGGAAGGAGGGGGGAGGGAGGGAGGGGGCAGTGAATAATTGAAGGCCACCGGAGAGAGTGTGCACACAGCTGTCGGCTGATTCTCCACTCGGTCCGCAGGTGGCCTTCCCCCTCTGGTCTTTGCAGCCCAAGATCAAGTAGGCCGGGGGGGGGGGGGGGGAGGCAGAGGGAGAGAAGAAATGAGCGGGGAGGGAGGGAGAGTTTGGCAGGAAGAGATGCGGACGCGAGTGATGGGAAGCTGTCGGGACAAGAAGAGGGGCGTTGGGAGTCAGACGGACAAATGCGCTACAAGGGAGAAGACGGGACTCATTGTGTAAAGAAATGTCGATGATTTGTATTCTGATGCTTCGGCAATCGCCTCCCGGCGCGCGGCCCCCGCTCCTCCCGAAGCGCGTGGAGTTTTGTTTGAGATGGCGGGAACAAGAGGGGCCTACGAGGGAACGAGAGGAGATAAGGACAGAACCGGCCCGGAGGGAGAGCGAGTCAGAGGAACATAAACTCGACGGGACACGGCGGTGGTGTAAAGTTGTGTTAGCGTTTAGCATTAGCTTCGTAGCAGCCGTGACCTCATCGAGACGCGGTTTATGCACCTCAACCAAGCCAAGAGAAAGGAAGCTTTGGCGTTCTTTATTTCTTCCCTTTGATGCAGACTGCGTGGGGGGGGGGGGGAGGGGGGAGTAAGGGGACCTGGGTCTCATCTCCTCCACTCTCGCTGAGGATTATCCGCCTCTCTCCCCCTCTGTGTAAAGGGACTTTCAAACCCACGGCTGCACATCCTTCCCTAACGAGGCGAATGCGGCTTTGACGCGGCCCCCGGGTCGAGACTGTGCGTGAAACACCCCCCTCCCTCACGCCTCCCCCCACCAGAAAACAACAACAACAACAACAACATCACTCCATCATACTGAAGGCACATCGGGGCAGGTGTGCGCGTGCTGAAATTGCTCGGTTTCACTCGAGTTTCTCACTCGACCCTCCCACCGCCCGGCCTCGCCTCGCCGGCTCTGCCTCCACTCAGATTGACAGCCTGGGAAGAGGACGAGAGAGAGAGAGGGAGGGGGGGAGAGAGAGAGAGAGAGAGAGACCCTGAATAAATGAACAGGCAAATAAGTGAGCGCAGGACAGGTAATGGAACTCAGAAAGCAAAGGGTGGGAATGGAACACCAAAGCCTCGTGATGTAAAGCACGGTCAATGATGGAGGAGGCCATTCATTATTGATACCGGCTCTTTGTAAATTCATAAGAACCTGGGGTGGGGGGGTGTTTGGGGGGGACGTGAGGGGGGAAGCAGACCAGAGGTGAGTTCGGGAACCAGGGAGCGGATTGGTCCACATGGGCGCTCGGGAGGTTGGTTTTGTGTGTGTGTGTGTGTGTGTGTGAGACGGCGGGGGTCAGAAGGTCACCGGGGTTGGAGATGTTAATTAAGGTCAATTTAGGGCAATCCGAGGTCGACGGTGGCCGCGGAATGATTGACACGTTCCCGAGAACGACCCCCCCCTCCCCCCTCCTCCCTCCTCCACTTCCTCTGTCACTCAGCGGGAGGAGAGCGCTTCAAGGACGCAGCAGCAGGTCGCTCTGAGGGTAACGCAGGCTCACAGTTGGTGCTGTCAAACTCAGAAGGAAGGGAAAAAATAAACACAGAGCTTTCCTAAAAACGCTGCGTGTTACACAGGTGAACAATGTTAACGAGGAACTATAACGTTTCATGTTATAACGTGCTTCTATATGCTACGTATATGTAGCTTCAGCGTCTCTGTGTGAAGCATCTAGGTGAAGGATGCCTCCCGTTGTTCTATGTAAAGGAAATGATTTTAAATCAATAAAGGTGATAAAACGCAATTATTCGCTTTATTCTTCAACCGTCTCGGTTTATGTTAATGTATTAACTTCCACGTGCTTCCTTAACCGACACAGACGATAGATTTCAGCGACGGGCTGATAACAAAAAGTACCCGCAGCGTTTTGAAGTAATACAAGGGGACCATTGGGAAATAAAGTCCTCCGTTTGGGAAACAATAGTGGCGTCCTCCAACCGGTTGTTTGCTCGTAATTTATGAGCATCCCAAAATACATTTCCTGAAACCGAGGGGGGGGTTTGGGGGGTTTGTGACGCCTCACTGTGACCGAATGCTCGGCGTAGTTCTCAGTTTGTCACTTTTTCAGGAAGTGTCACTCTCTTTCCAGGGATGATGAACTTTTTTTCTTTTTTTAAACTTCTCAAATTGGCTGCTGTCTCCCAATTGCTTAGTTTCAGTATCAGTTAACAGTCAGTTTTTTTTTTTTTTTTTTAAGATCTCTTCTCCTCGTCCTTTTTTTGTCTTAACAGTTCCCACAGTGGGCGCCGCTTTGGAAGTCTGAATGTGTGTGTGTGTGTGTGTTTACAATCCTTTGGTATCGCTCTTGTCTTTCCACTTTGCCGGCTTTGATAGCGCGACGTCTCGGGGACGGGCCCTCGTCTCGTCTTTCATGTCCATTTGAAAAAGTTGCGGAGGGAGAAATCTGAGAGGCCCTTTGAGCGCACGCCGCTTGAATGCAAACCCTCGGCGATATGCGGCGCCTTCTACTTGAGCCGCTCCGCTGTGAGGTAATCCAGGGTCATTCAAAATAAGTCTGACACTCGCCGTCGTGTTCAAGGACAAATGGAATTTGAAGATACCAAGTGAGTGTGTGTGTGGGAACCTTCTCAAGTCATATCTTAGCAACCGTAACCAGGCACTGCAGGCCTGTCGAGCTTTCCATGTCTGCATATGCATCGCCCTCCGCTTGAAACGCTTTGGTTCATGGTGCCTTCATCTTTTATTTACTTGTTTGCCATTTCAAAACCAAGCGCATAGAGCAGAGAGTTGAAATGTGTTCCTTTTTATATTGAGGTCGGTACCAGAATTTAAGTCTGTCCTCCCGTGTGTGCGTGATATCACTTGGTTTGGTTATAGGTCGACTGGAAATCAAAAAAAGCGTTTTCCAAAGGTTACACCCACTTTTATCACATCAAAGTGAAATAAACTGCTCCTTCCAGTCCACGTGCATCTCGGTGACGTCGCTTCGTTGCTTTGCAGACTGAGACATCTGAGTGGATTCTCAGAACTGTGTCTCATTAGAAGCGATACATATATTTTAATTATATATTGTAATTAGACGGTGTCCTTGGCTCAAATTACCCTGGACACGTCTTGCTTGAGGGCTGCAAATCTCAGAGTATAACCACCATCTTTATCTCTAAAGCGCCAGAATTTGCACTTTTCCCAGCGCCTTTTCCAGGGGCCCAAAGTTCCATTTGGTCTTTTTCTGCTCCGCTGTGATGGAGGTGGAGGTTGAGTCGCCAGCAAGAAGAACTCATGGATCAAAAAATGAAAACCCTGTGATTCTACGACTTAAAGATGTTCCCTCATTGTCTCCTTCTCGTGTGTCCACAGGGGAGCGCCAGGAGTGGGTGGAAGCTCTTCAGAAGGCCGCGCGCCCGCCCGCCTGCCGCTCCCAGAAGCGCGCCGACAGCCTCACCCGCCCCGCCCCCACCAGCAAGCGCGGCCCGCTGGAGCTGCGCGGCCACAAAGGCAGAGTGCTGGTGTCCCTGGAGGGCAGCAGAGTCAGGCTCTGCAAAACAGAACAGGTACTTCCCGGCGCCGCCCCGGGGACCGCTCGCTCTGCGCGACGACTGCTTCCTGTTTTTCCGAGCTAATAACCGCGGCCCGTTTGAAGCGAGCGAGGGTAGAGACGGGGGAGGTTTGTGAAAAGTGAATACATATATACATATATACGTGTGTGCGTGTGTGAAAATGCTCAAGGGTCCTGGGATGTACTGCCGCTCTGTTTTATTTTTGGCGGGTACAAACCCACGCTGGCGCAGAGGAATGAGTGGGCGGGGCCGACTTATGAACAAGTGCGACTGCGACACGGAGATGCTGAAATTAGGAACAAATCGGCTCCTATTGGCCGGGTTTGGGCTGTGGACCCGGGAGAGGGAGAGGAATACATCGACGGCTCCCCAGCTCCCGGCAAGGATGCGTTTATGGATGCAGAACGGTATCTTTACTTTAGAGAAGTGCTAATTTAATCATCATTTTCAGTTTCTTTATTTGTGGAATTGTCCACCAGACATTTCCCCGAGCTCATTATATCCCCCCTGCTCTGGTGTGACCTGAAGAGGGAACGTGAACTCTATTAGAGCCTCGCAAATATCTCGTCTCCCGCCAATGGAAGAAATTGCGAAGGCGGAGGTTGAAATATTCTGACTTTTAGTTCAAAGCACGAGTCGGATCTCCAAAAACGATGAATCTCATAACAGAAATCATTCCGCGCCGTCATTTGGTTTTGTTGTTTGCCGTTCATTCTTTGCCTCATTAGCGTGAACAAACATCTTTGGGAGAAATCTCTTTTTTTTGGGGGGGCATGGCTCCGTGTCAGCACTTTCCCACTCGCTTGAGATGAGTCGGCAGGAGGATTCGGGGGGGCAAATTAACCGTATTATTTCAGCTTGCACGCTAAATCTCTCGGCAAAGAATAAATAATAAAAATAAAAGTATACCTGAGAGAGAGAAAGGAAGGCGAAAGAAGACTGGTGTCGGAAGATGAAGTGGAGAAGGGCGGAGGTGCAGAGGTCACACGAGTGAGGAACGAGCGTCGGCGGTCGAGCGAGTGATGGAGAGCGAGAGGGAGTCAGA